GACCGAGCGCAGCGAGGTCCGTACAAAAAAGACCGAGGGCCGATATTCTTCCAGTACGGTCCCGAGAAAGCTTGGTTAATAAGAGATTTATTACACGACTGAACTTCAAAGGGACACAAGTGCGGTATCATTCGGGACCATTCGGGACAGTGCCCGGTCCAATACTGAGAAAATATTGACCGGCAATAGAGCATTTTGATTGGTTGATTTTAGTTATTGGCCCTCTGACTTCCCGAGTCGTGTAATAAATATATTTACTGTATTTCATTCCATTCACTTGACAATGACCGAAGCACGGTCGAAACGTCGTGTTTTACCGTTGATTTTTATCATCAAAAGTCTTAAGAAACCCTTGCTTATAAGAGTTTTAAATTTTATTAAGGATAATTAGGGCTTCTATTTTTATATTTCTAGTTAGTTTTGCTATATTAAGTTTTTTTAATTAGAGGGGGCATCCCTTGTATGGTGCGTTAGCACTTTTGGTTGTCTCCACAATTTTTCCCTTTATGGTTTTTATTAACCTTAATTGTAATTAATACTAATTGTTTGTGTATTCTTGTGGAGTGAATTTCTAATAAATTTGTAAATTTATAAATTTCTTTTAAATGTGGTATGACTTATAAATGAGCAAAAAAGAAAGATTTTCCTTCATCTGTTGCATTCACAAAACCCTCTCTCCTCTTAAGTTCAATTTGAATCGAAGACTTAACAAAGTAAAAGTAGGGTTAAGAATTGGAGAAAATCGCTCGAGTGATATTTAGTAAATAAACCCCTTCGGGCGGCTGGTATGTCGGCTGATGATGTCCGCGGCTCAGAGATTATCCGAAAAATGTCCTTCGTGCTCTCCAATCTTCCCACGAGCTCCATAACTCGATGGTGCACGCTAAAGCATGAACCAATTGTTAAATATCGCATGAGCACGTGTGGGTACGAATTTCTCTTTCGAGTGTTGATAATTTCCCTCACAAGTCAGCAAAGCGAAAGAGTGAAAGATACTCAGTCATTACCAAAAGACAAAGTCGACCCATATGCGGACATACAATTAATGTGTTGTTTGTCAAAATCAATGGCAATTTCAAAGAAAATTTTAATAGCACCGCTGAATCATGCAGGATTACCCACGTACAAACTCCGCTAATAGAAAAGCCACCTCAGCTTCCGCATTGAAAATGAAACAAGTTCTCTTAAAAAATTCTTTTCCGTGAAACTGATTAGGCCTGCTATCATTATAAAAACTCAGAAAGCCCGAAGACATATTTATCGTAATTTTTTCACCCACCCTTACCTAGTGAAAAATCCTTTAGGTCTTCCCAAAGGCCAGATTCCGGCTGTAACAAAGGAAATCCGGAAACTCCAAACCAAAATAAACTGAAATTTGGTTAATCTCGAAAGTTCTCCTAAATGACAAAAAATCAACCTAAATGACAGTTCTGTTGGTTGGGAACGGGACATTTGACATATCTCGCTCTTCAATTTCAATATCATCTGTGGATAGCGATTAATCTGTTGGATAGCGTTACCGCCCTTAATACAACTGGTCCCAGAATTATGTACTTTGGACGATGTAAAAATTATCACTGACTTCCTATCCGAAAAACTGTCGTCGGAATTGCTTTGGCGGTCGCGGTCTGTTCCTCCAAGGAGTTCCGTGTGTAAGAGAGAGATAGAGAACGAGACTGAGCTGAATAATAAAACAGGAAAGCCAGACTAAAAGTTCAACCAATTGGTGATTGAAAGCCCAGTGTACGAATAACGAGGGAGAGTTAGCCAGTCTTATTTGCAACTTTTACTAAGATAATTATATAGAGAACGACAAAACTTTTGAGTTTAAAAGACATGTTGTGCTCTTGCTTTGGGTTAGGTAAAGATTGTCAAGAATTGTAGTCTAGTTGCATGTCTACAAAATGCGAAACTTACCGAAGGTTGACGCTATTTAGCTTTGTTTGATTCGACTGATTTCCTCAGTAATCCAACTGTGGACCCTCACGTTTACCGAGTATGACCTTCACCGATGTAGAGAAATATGCAACACGTTCAACGGGATGCAGAAGCACTGCAAAAGTTTGCAAATATTTTGCAGAACCAGGATATCTCCATAACATCAAAAGTAAGTGCACTCAGGTAAATAAATTGGTGTAGTCTCCTGAAAGTTGGTGATCTTTTCGCCTTTCATGTTATTAAACCATTCCTTAAAATGTGGTAAAGACTGATCCTAATTAATTTTACAAATTTCAGTTACATATAGTGACTCGGAGCCATTTGTTTTGGCCAGATGCTACAGATCGATGAGGAAAAATGAAACACCACATTCCCTTCGAGTGATAACTGGTATGGATCAAACAACAGTGTCTGGAAATTGTTCTTGTGTAGCAGGTGGTGGAGGGATTTGTCACCATGTTGTGGGCCTTTTTTTTACTTGTCACACTGTAAGCAACTTGGGCTAAAGAGCTTACCTGATGATCTGACATGTACGATGATGGCACAGCAATGGAGTGTTCCCAGAGGGAAATGCATAAATCCTCAATGTGTGGACACCTTAATGGTGAAGAAGCCTCTGGAGGGTGCAAACTATAATAAATTCATTAAAACCACTCTGTACTCACCTGCATCCCACTATCATATTCTGCGCCTTATCAAAAAGCTAAAGTCAAAAATCTAAATCCTGAGCCTAAGCCATGGAGTTTGTTACCAGATCCAGAAAACTTCCCAAGCTCACATCCTCCTTCTGTACAAACCAAATTTGGAATGGTGCCAAAGGTCTGTAACATCTTACCAACAAAGGTTCACAGAAAAATGTCATAAATTTTTATGCCCACACCTCATTCCCCAAGCTATCCCTTCCAAATGCAGGTTAAAGGTTTAAGAACAATGTTTGAACAACAAAGAAATCAGCAAAGTTAGAGTCACTGTCAGTCACTTTAGAGATAGCACATGCTTTAGAAGAAAAAATGAGAGAACAGGATGAAAGTGACCTTTGGCATTCATTAAGAAAAAAAAGAATCACTGCAAACAAGTTTGGAACAGTGGCAAAGAGAATTTCTACTTTTGATACTCTTGGTAAACAACTTCACCCATCTAGGCTTGTACAGACAGCTGCTATGAAGTGGGGCATAGAAATGGGGGGAAGAGCAGCATCCATTTATGCCATTAAAGCAAAGAAAGGGATGGTAAACTTGTACCCAAGTGGTCTGGTAATAAATCCAAAATGCCCCTAGCTTGGAAGTTCCCCAGACAGGAAGGTTTATGATATTGAGGCAGCTCAAAATGGTTCATGAAGTCCCTATGGCTTGTTTGAAACAAAGGTTGTCCAGGAAGGAACAACCAGCTTAGATGATGTGGCTTACCCCAAGCATGAACCCATTTCAAATGAATTGACCCTTAACAAGAAACATGCATATTATTTACAAGTACAATGCCAATTAGGTACTTCTGGCCTGGATTGGTGTGACTTTTTCCGTTACATCAACGATGATTTGTTTTTTTGCCAAAGAACAGTATTTCATCCTATTTTTTTCCAAGAATGTAAGGATAAGGTTGACATGTTTTATTTTAACTATTTTTTGTGAGAACACTTACGTCACTGTAATATTTATAATCAGAACACCCTGTGATACCTGCTAAGATAAATTATTTTTCAAAATTAATGGTCCCTGAAAATTTACAAGCAAACATCCCACTGTCCACATCTGATTGACAGTTCCCAAAAGTGACAAAGGAATTTCATTGTCGAAAGATGATACTTTTTAATTCGGCGTATGGCCCTCTCCACATGAATCCGGACTTTGGCTATGGTTTTTGTTTCTTTGACCTCCTCTGGTGAAAACTGTGCATGATTTAAAGGATATGGTGGAAGGCTTACCTTTACCCCTTTACTGCATTATAGATCATCAATATTAAAACCCTTATCAGCCATCACACTATTATTAGGCTCCAAAAGATCTAAAATTCCACAACACTTTACAATCTCTTTATGTTAAATAGAACCAGTATATAGTGAGGATACAAATAAACAAACTTATTTTTCTCACCTTCACTTAGAAATGTTTTATTCGCTACCATTCTGGAAAACTACATTAATTGACTCGACTATCATCACCTAACAATATCAACTTAAAAAATAGACAAAACCAGCGTTGAAAGGGAGTTAAAAAAACATGGTATGACGTACCAGTTGGCAAAGTGCGGATTATACCAAAGCGAAAACACAAGCAAATACGGAGCTTTCCGACAAATCAAAAACATCAGTAGGTCTGCAACTATTAAAGTCGCTCTTTTTGAGAGTTCTCAGTGGATAAAGATCGTTTTGTTCCGAAACAAAGAAGCAAGTAGAGCAAATATTTGCGTAACTCACCCTTCGTCATCTCACGAGGCAGCCACTGTTTCCCGTAGCAACCGACTTTTTTTGCCCTTCAACATGGCGGAAACGATCACGTG